GACCTACCAACGTCTGTCCTATGTGGACCCCATATGTTTGAATAACTATCACAAAGCTCAATCTGACCACCTCTTGTCATTTCGTGGATTGTTTAGATAACTTGTATTTCCTGCAATTATTATGTTCTCTAACCCTACTGCTGTATTGTTTGTCTTCTTTTTGATTTCTCTGATGTAGGTTTCTTAGTAGCGTCTTCCCAAAGTATAATCCAATATCTACTGACAAAGCTAAGCGGTGTGCTGGCTGGCAAAGGGAAACTAAAGAGAACGTATCCATTTTCACTGATCAGGTTATGAATTTGGAGTGGAGACAGTAAGCTGATAACTGGCACAGTGCTGAGCAGCCCCGACGGGATGGTGGGTACACGTTGGGCAGTGATTCGCAGTCAGTCGTTGGAAACAACCAGCTGCTCTGGGAGAAATTGGGGCTTTCTTTTCCCATGTAGAGTTCCTGTCTCAGAAACTCACAGTGGGGCTGCTCTGCCCTGGTCTAGGGGGTCATGTGTAGATGCTGACTCGATGGCACTGTTTGGTTTGGGGTTTGGCACAGCCTACATGTAGGTTGGACTGAAGAGAGTCACCAATACCAGAGGAGGTGACCTTGATGTTGCTGCTGTCTGAAGGGCGTGTGTGACTTTTCTCATGGGAGGTGAGATGCCTTAAGCTGTGAATAAAGCCACCTAACGGTTCCAAGGGTGCTGGTTGAGTCTGGCAAAGCAAACCATGTCAAGGTGAAAGATGTCCCTCCTGCCCTCACAGACGTATGGCCCTGCTGATGTAAGGCCGACCAGCCAACAATTCCTCTTGGAAGTATGCTCTTCATGGGTCTAGCTGGGGCCATGACGATGCCTTGGCTGATTTCGGTGTCAACCTTGTGCTGTTTCTTACATTCTCTTCTCTAGTTATGCTCAACTCCAGGCAGGTCCCCAAGCCTCTTATTTTGGCATATGGTGTTGTCTCTGCTTAGGATGCCTCACCTTCTTAATAAAGCCGACTTACCACCTTTCATGTGCCATCTTCCAGGAAGCTTCCAATGATGCCCTAAGTCTGGGTTGGGCATCTCTTCTTTCCATGGTAGCACTGGTTCTCCCGGGAACAGCGCACTCAGCAGATTGAGTCGCCATTGCCTGTGTCCCTACCCGCCTATTAGACCGCGCTTGTTCTTTGAGGGCAAGAACCAAATCTTCTCCACGAGTGTTTTCCCCAGAATCATGCCTGTTGTGCACTAGCCGCTTATCAAATGTTTCCTGAACGACTGAAAAAGCAATGAGACGTTGGAAGTGGGGTGCATGCAGGGAATGACAGGAGGTGACACATGTATAGACCACTCACATGGGGCTTGCATGCCATCTGAAGGCGTTTGGGTCATTTCTGAAGGACAGTAGAGTTCTATGGTCGGTGTTCTGGGTGAGAAAGATCTGTCTAGCAGCACGGCAACCCCATGCGTCAGAGCAGAATGGAGCTCCGTAGGTTTGCTGGGTTATCATCTTCATGAGAGCAGATTATCAGAAAGGTGTCCCACTGCTGGTTGGGTTTGAGCACAAAGCACTCAAGTCCAAACTGTGGCACCCAGGGGCCTTGGGCAGGATGGTGAGCTAATGGGATGGGGCTAAGAGTGGGGAGGAAAGACTAGATGGTCCCTGAGGATCCCAGAGGCGCTGGACGGGGTGGGGCTTGGGGAAAGGGGGTTGGGTTTGCCTTGCT